ACAGATGAATATATACTCATATTGACCATTCTTGAGAATTAAATTTAATGTTCATTCTAGACGTAGTATCACTTTAACTGAAGTGGTAGAAGACGTCCTTATTTCTCTACATCTGTGGTATTTTCACGGAATTTCAGTTTTCCTTAGTAAATATAGGATTCTTATATGATGGAAAAGAAAATAAAGAAAAAGAACATGGTTTAGTTAAGAGCAATAACTAAAAAACGCAACGAAAAATCTTGTAAATCGACCACAAAAGTATGTAAAAGCAAGGCCAATTTCGCCAAAAATCGATCAAAGTCAAAGCTGTAATTTCTATTGCATTCTAAGCCGATTTGAAGTACTAAGGCTAAGCCAAGGGAAATCTTCTTAATATATATAATTTATCGAGATTCATTGAATCAAATCAAAACTGATCATTCGTTCACAAGTAGATGTGATAAGGCGTATGCTATATGGAGCTGCAACTTAATGTGAGCGTATTAAAACCTATTCTAAATTCATCTCTTAATGTCTGGCTTAAATTATAAATATTCATCACAATTTGAGGACTTTCAGAGAAAATTGTCTGGCATGGTTGCTATATTTAGCGAATTTACTGTAGTGGCACCTTTACCATTTGGGACGTCAGATTAAATAAATTTATAACGCAAACATATTCAAGACAACCCAAACAGAAGGTTTCTTTTAATGAAATACTTTTTATATATTTTCTTGTGAATCAGAGGTTGTAATATATAAACATGGAAGCCAGATGCTAGAATTGTTATGATTACAACCATGATTTTAGTTTATACTTCAAGTTAGATAATCTGAAAATTCAGTTTTTCCAGGACTGTGCAATTCATGTATGATATGCTATCATAAGTTATTTGCATACATTCATTCAGAACTGAAACAAATTGACCAAATCTGAAGAAATATCAAAGTTTAAATACGAAGCTAATGCCAAATACTATTTTTGTCTTATTTATTCAAAGATGATATCTGCTGATTTATAAAACAGTAAATCTTTTAGAACGAGATTTGGACTATAAATCTCTAAGAAATTGCTAGATGCAAAATGTAGGCGAAGTTGTTCAGTGAAATAAAGTCGTAATGGCGATCAAAATCATGTGTATTATCAGTCTGTTGGTTGGTAAGTCTATATACTTAATCATAAATATATATAAACAGTAGTCCTACCTGATAGTTCCTTACAGGACAAAATTCTGTTTTGAAAGTACATTGTTTTTAAAAAATGCGACGAACATCTTAAATCATTATATAAATGCTTTCAGGACTATCTTTAGCTTGCAATGATCTAAGAATCAGAGATTGGGATTTAAATGATATAGGACATGTTCATGAAATCGAACAAGGTGATTTGGTAGCACTTATATGTGACGGTACGTGTCAAGGCCCTGGATTCACACCATCGTTAAAATGGCTGCGACCTGGTGGAAGAAAGGTAACAAGCTTTCCTGGAAGGTAAGATATGATATACACGTAGGCTACTGATAATCGTAATGAGAGTTAACTAATTAATCACGAACATGTATGTACTAACTAACGATACTGAATTTAAGTCAGTATAAATGTAAGTGAGCCATTCTAAATATTAGTAAGCAGTGTAACAATTATACTATCATATATGCAAATGCACTTTATTATCATTAAGAATTATAATTATGTAAAGGTACTTAGTATGTGTAAGTATACATCAAATAAATCGTATATAAATGCACTCAATTAGTAGTACAGCCAATAAATCATATGTAGACGTACTCAATGTTTGTCAGTTACAGGACCAATAAATCATAGAAAAGCACTTAACGTTTGTCAGTAATACAACCAATAAATCATTTGTAAATAAATGCCCTTAAATGTTTTCATTGATGCAACCATTATATCGTATGTAAATGTACTTTGTCAGTACTATAACCAATGCATCGTACGTAAAAGTACTCAATGTTTGTCGGTAGTATACAACTAATAAATCGTACGTAAAAGTAGTTAATGTTTGTCAGTAGTATATAACCAATAAATCGGACGTAAAAGTACTTAATGTTTGTCAGTAGTATACAACTAATAAATCGTACGTAAAAGTAGTTAATGTTTGTCAGTAGTATATAACCAATAAATCGGACGTAAAAGTACTTAATGTTTGTCAGTAGTATACAACTAATAAATCGTACGTAAAAGTAGTTAATGTTTGTCAGTAGTATAACCAATGCATCGTACGTAAAAGTAGTTAATATTTGTCAGTACTATAACCAATGCATCGTACGTAAAAGTAGTTAATGTTTGTCAGTAGTATACAACCAATAAATCGTACGTAAAAGTAGTTAATGTTTGTCAGTAGTATACAACCAATAAATCGTACGTAAAAGTACTTAATGTTTGTCAGTAGTATACAACCAATAAATCGCACGTAAAAGTAGTTAATGCTTGTCAGTAGTATACAACCAATAAATCGTACGTAAAAGTAGTTAATGTTTGTCAGTAGTATACAACCAATAAATCGTACGTGAAAGTACTTAATGTTTGTCAGTAGTATACAACCAATAAATCGTACGTAAATGTACTTAATGCTTGTCAGTAGTATACATCCAATAAATCGTACGTAAGAGTACTTAATGTTTGGCCGTAGTATACAATCAATAAATCGTACGTAAAAGTACTTAATGTTTGTCTGTAATATACAACCAATAAATCGTACGTAAAAGTACTTAATGTTTGTCAGTAGTATACAACCAATAAATCGTACGTAAAAGTAGTTAATGTTTGTCAGTAGTATACAACCAATAAATCGTACGTAAAAGTAGTTAATGTTTGTCAGTAGTATACAACCAATAAATCGTACGTGAAAGTACTTAATGTTTGTCAGTAGTATACAACCAATAAATGTTACGTAAATGTACTTAATGCTTGTCAGTAGTATACATCCAATAAATCGTACGTAAGAGTACTTAATGTTTGTCCGTAGTATACAATCAATAAATCGTACGTAAAAGTACTTAATGTTTGTCTGTAATATACAACCAATAAATCGTACGTAAAAGTACTTAATGTTTGTCAGTAGTATACAACCAATAAATCGTACGTAAAAGTAGTTAATGTTTGTCAGTAGTATACAACCAATAAATCGTACGTAAAAGTAGTTAATGTTTGTCAGTAGTATACAACCAATAAATCGTACGTAAAAGTACTTAATGTTTGTCAGTAGTATATAACCAATAAATCGTACGTAAAAGTAGTTAATGTTTGTCAGTAGTATACAACCAATAAATCGTACGTGAAAGTACTTAATGTTTGTCAGTAGTATACAACCAATAAATCGTACGTAAATGTACTTAATGCTTGTCAGTAGTATACATCCAATAAATCGTACGTAAGAGTACTTAATGTTTGGCCGTAGTATACAATCAATAAATCGTACGTAAAAGTACTTAATGTTTGTCTGTAATATACAACCAATAAATCGTACGTAAAAGTACTTAATGTTTGTCAGTAGTATACAACCAATAAATCGTACGTAAAAGTACTTAATGTTTGTCAGTAGTATACAACCAATAAATCGTACGTAAAAGTACTTAATGTTTGTCAGTAGTATACAACCAATAAATCGTATGTAAATGTACTTAATGTTTCATTAATGTAATTAGTGTACATGAAAACTGTCTTAAGACAAAGACAACCTGGCGATGTCAGTGTAGGCTACATATAGTTTACTGCAGTGGGAGTGTTTTGGCAAAACGTTAGTGCTAACTCTGTCGAAGCAGTGCAGAGAGTCCTCTCTATATCTAAAGGTTATGACTTTTAAAGCCTACCTATTCCAGTAAGTGTTCTTTTCTTTTTTCATCGTTAGATTGATGTCAGTGTATCAAGAAAGTAGAAGACAGATTAAACTTTATCTACAAGATTTCCAAATGTCTGATGCAGGTATTTACACATGTCGTGGATGGATTAATGGACAATGGAGAACTCAATCGGTTCATCTTAAAATACCAGGTATGGGAAACTTTATCTACACAATATTCTTGAAATCTTCTCCGATTGTCTTATGTGGTAGGCCTATTTTGGTTTTTGACACTCATATCAGATACGGTAAGGTGTAGTGAAGAAAATTAACTATTAACGACAATTTTTCTCTGTTGATAACTGAATAACATTATAGCATAATATTCTCTGAGGGGATACACACAAAGCTATTTGTACCTTAAATTGAATTACAAATTTTAACCGTATATAGTGGTTTAAAATTTTGTTACATTTTCGTGGTGAAAAATTATGCAAGATCCTCTTGATAAGAAGTAAATTTCTGTCATTGCATATTGCGTGTCATTGTCCATCTACATTATTGTCGTTGGATTCTTTTTTCTATTCAACATTTTTAAAATATTATTTTGCATTTTAGATGATATTTCTACTTCAGCACCGCTACCAACAACAGATGTTTACATGAGTATAATTACACCGAACGTGCAACTTCCGGCTTCGGATGAGTTTAACAGTGAGGTCCAATCTCTTTCCTTGTCAGATGATATGGTCGTTTAGACAAATTTTAGATATACCCATATAAGGTATTATGGTAATATAAGTAAATAAATACATGTATTCGAATATATTTGTGCTTAAATTGCATCCCATTCATAGTGTGAGCAGGACCCTATATATTTATGGTAGAACACTCCCCGCCCCCCTCTCCCAATGTATTTACTTACACCAAACAACAACGAATAACTTGAGTTCTTTGGAAAAGTCTATGGTTACTGCTGAATGCTTGAGGTACTAGACGGAATACCAATACATCATGTTACCCAACTCATAGATCCTATATTTTACATATATTAAACCGGATTTATGCCGACATTCAGATATTTAAGTAATTTACATCATAGAAATATTTCAATAACATTCTCAATCATATTAGATATTAAATATTAAAAATTTTGGGGCAAGGGCAATAACTCTGCTTCTTACGGTCGAAAATAGCTCAAATTTGAACTTGATCTTCGTTTTATGAATATGTATACACATACCGAATTTCATTTGATTCCATCAAAAACTCTAGTTTTTAGAGCGTTTACAAGCAAATGGACGGACGGACGGACGGACCGACCGACGGACAGGGGTGCCGACAATATACGTCCACATAGAGAGACGTGGGCGTAAAAAAACGATTGAAATAATGTTGAATAGAAAAATTTTGCGACAAAATCAAACAAAAATGTTGCCTATATTACGCGCATTTTAATTAAAGACGGAAGGAAACGATGGGGCGGTGATAAATTTGATTGCCGCCATGATGGTTTGATAACTTCCCCCTTAGAGTATTTATTAAATTAATAATTTGTAATAAGTTAAACAATTAGCAGTATTAGTGCCGTTACGGTTCCTAAAGAAGGGATAATTATAACTATTTCCATGGCATCGTTCTGCCACCTGTCTTTGTATAGTTTCATATTAGGTAAGTTCAATTTTTTTTATTTATTTTTGGAGGGGGTTATGATATCAATTCAACAATGCTGGAAATATGTGGAAATGAGTCATGCATTATCATGCAAACTAATATCGAATTCTAGAAACCTGAATGTAATCACATGAAAATATATTAGAACAAAATCTTTGGCTCTGTCTTCAGAGTCGTGATTTGGGAAACGCCTTAATCTTTGATGCAATAAACCCCAAACCAAATGTTCTTAAACTGTAGGAGTGCACTATCGATTGATAACAGGCTTTATGCAGTTTAAAAAATTCAAATTTTTTGGTCATCCTAAGAGATAATATTTGAAATTTTTCAGCGTGTTCAAAATGAGTTTTTGTTCATCAGTGGACTCATCTAGTTTCATAACTAAACGACAGAATCCCCCTCGATAGTCCTAAAATCCGTAAAACAAAGTAATGATTCTTGAAACTTAAGTAATTTTGAAATGCGTCTAGAGGCCTTTTTATACGCCCACATGAAATGGGGGGCGTAAATTGCCGTCACCCATATCCGTCGGTCCGTCCGCCCTTCCGTCCGTCCGTCCGTCCACAATTGCTCGTAAACATTCTACAAGGCACAATTCTTGACTGATTTTGACGAAACTTAATGTGGTTGTTTGTAATCACCCAAGGATGAACCCTATTGAAAAACAGACGAATCGAAAAATATTTACTATGAGTTATTGCCCTTGTTCTTGAAACGCTCGTAAACACTCTAGAAGGTGCAATTCATGACGGATTTTGATGAAACTTGGAGTGTTCGTAATCGCCCAAGGATAAACCCTATCGAAAATCAGGAAAATTGAAAAATATTAAGTATTAGTTATTGCCCTTGTTCTTGAAAACGAGTTCAATTTTTAGTTCGTAAACACTCTAGAAGGCCCAATTCTTGACGGATTTTGATGTAACTTGTCATGAGTGTTGGTTATCACCCATGGATAAACCGTATTGAAAATAAGAAAAACTGAAAAAATATTTAGTATTAGTTATTGCCCTTGTTCTTGAAAACGCGTTCAATTTTTAGTTCGTAAACACTCTAGAAGGCCCAATTCTTGGCGGATTTTGATGTAACTTGTCATGAGTGTTGGTTATCACCCATGGATAAACCGTATTGAAAAACAGAAAAATTGAAAAATATTCAGTATGAGTTACTGCCCTTGTTCTTGAAAACGCGTTCAAATTTTATCTTGTAAATACTCTAGAAGGGACAATTTTTGACGGATTTTAACGAAATTTGACTTGAGTGTTGGTTATCACCCAAGGATGAACCCTATTGAAAATCAGAAGAATCGAAAAAATATTTAGTATGAGTTATTGCCCTTGATCTTGAAAACGCGTTCAATTTTTAGCTTGTAAACACTCTAGAAGGCACAATTCTTGACTGATTTTAACGAAATTTGGCTTGAGTGTTTGTTATCACGCAAGGACAAAGCCTATTGAAAATCAGAAAAATCGAAAAATAATTAGTATGAGTTATTGCCCTTGATCTTGAAAACGTGTTCAATTTTTAGCTCGTAAACACTCTAGAAGGCACAATTTTTGACGGATTTTGACAAAACTTGGTTTTATTATTCATTACCGCGCTGAAGATTGAATATTTGTCTTGTAGAGTTTTCACGAGCTAAAGATTAAACACGTTTTCAAGAACTAGGGCAATAACTCATACTCGATATTATTCAGTATCGCACTAAAGAGATCAAAAGAAGTGTATGACTGAAGGTTGAATATTTCAACTGGTAATTGTTACTGTACTGCTAAATATTTTTATTCAAAATCAAAGCTGCCAGTGGATACCATAGTTGCCTGGCAAGCTATCTTTCAATAATTACTCAGGTTAATGGAAATTGTGTCTCATATAGGGAATCTATTCATTAGTCCTGAGGCCTGGTAAGTCCAACTGTCAAATGTACACACTTATTGACAAAGGTTGAGACTTTAAATTTATGTCCATCCTAAGAGGTACAGTATGCCTTTAAGCAAGTAATTACCAAGTGTGATGTCAAGTAATCCAAGGATTTCATTGGTCTCTTAAACCTATACTGCGCTCTTGTAATATACAAATTCAAAATATGTTTCTTCAGTTTCTAGTTGGGTGCAAGTTTTATAGTCCTACGAGTCTTAGTTTTCTAGTTTTCTAGTTTATAGTCCTATGGGTTTAAGTATTACAGTTGTGTTTTCTGTTGTCAAGCGTAAATTGATATTATAGCATATAGATATAAAGAATATTTACAAATCTATTTGAACTACAACGTTGATGTATTGTCCACCAGGTCTGTCGCTGAAATATGCCTTTCCAAGCTGGTCGAATACATATTGTACATCCTTCAGAAGAACACGAAATGTACAAAATACCTCAAACTAGGAATTTCACTTGCTATTTCTATATTATATCTTTTATATATGTGGCAAGAGAAGACGAGGCCCTTTTTTTCAACTTTCAAACGCGGTTAATATTCTGGACATGCTTTCTGATAAGCTTAGATACCTAGAACAAAAAGTTAAGCGCCACCAGATTTTGAACCATTGTTTCGCAAATGAATGCAATTCACAATCATACTTGATAACAGAGATGTGTATATTGGGACCTAATGTTGAAAACAATTTGTATTCGTGAAAAAATCAACAACAGGAAGTGGATGATCGTACATTATATTGTCTTTATAGCCTCAAATGCAAAGTATCTGTTTTTCATCAATTATACCTTAGGGATAACTTTTGCTAGAAGTGACTCATCAGCCAGTAATAGAGAAGGAAACCACATTGAAAGGAAACATTACATTCTCACGAAGAGTTTAAAGCAGTGTTTATTCAAAAGCGAGTGTATGACCCTTAGCACTAATCACAGCATGCTACGTATCAGTCTTTGAATGTCCTGTTCAGGAATTTGCTGCCACTCCTGATGCAATGCTTCATCCAACTCTGTTACCGTTTGGACAGGAGGGTCTCTTCGATGTACGCGACGTCCCAGAATATAATGAATTAAAGTTAGTGCCGCTAAACCTTTTGTTCTACGTGTATAAAAAGAGTAAGGATTGATCAAAAAGTATGGTCTGGTCATTTACATCTATGCCACGCCCTAGTAAAATAAGTTCTAAAACAATGTTTTCAGTTTCTAGTCATATGGGTCTTAATTTTCTAGTCCTATGGGTCTGAGTTTTCTGGTTGGGGTCTGAGTTTTATAGCTCTATGGGTCTGTACTGAAATTTACTCATACTGACTGGATCGTTATACTGATGTAATATTAAAATGTAATCCAGCCATATTTATTGTAGCCAGTATATTGTATACTAATTCCATTTACGCAATAGTTCAATATAGTTGAACTGAAATCAGTCTGATTAAGAAAGTGGAAATTTCCGTTTCACACAGTATCCGCTTTTATCAACACGACCAACTGGTTAAGTGTTATGTTGTGAATGAGTCAATCCCATTCTAATATATCAATCTTATATGTCCAAAAACCTTCTCTAAAAACATTTCTGGGGTTTATTCACATCTAAATGACCAATTCTATAAAATGACTACGTATGAATTGGGGATGATATCGTCAAAAAGGACATAGCAAAATCATGACGAAAACTCAGCTAATGATAGTGCAAACTTTATTAGTTTACTCCAAAACCCTCTACCTTTGATGCAATATCAGCATCAGTAGCAACCTAACACAATACAGAGAATACTGTTATATTTTACAGTACTATGCCTACATCATGCTGTATGTTTAGAATGTGATATAAAATTATCAAAGGAGTTAGCTACGATAGGCAGTAATGGTAATTTGTCTGTATTATGTAATACATCATGTATGATAGGAGATAACAGAGGTGATATGATCTGGTATGATAACCAATTTAATCAAGTACCACACAAAGGAAGGTAAGACGTCTTTCTCTCTTTCTTTGTTTTTTTCACTTTATGACGTTCTTGGATGCAAATATGTTATTTTGCGGATGCCAACCAATTTACATTCTTTAAAGAGTCGTCTACAGTTGATTTTTTTACGGATATTTTTAACGGAAATATAAGTCACAGACATTTTAACCAAAAACTATTTCTCTATTCCTGTCAAGCATCGGTAAAGTTAAAGAAACTTAGAAACTAAAAGGCTTTCTCTTATTCCGTTCTCTGTTGTCATTCCAGGAAAATTGGCATTTTAAGTCTGAGTAAACATAATAGTAATTTTATTCGTTAACAGATTATAATCTCACGTTTTAATTTTTAATTTCTTAACAGATAGAAATAACATTCAAAATATCGTGTCAATCTAGCTAGCAGTGGAAATGAACATAGCCGTAACTGCAATTGATTATATATGAATATTATAATATTATGAACTTTTACAGGGAATGAAACAAAATAGATCTATATAAAAGCTGTGTTTACAACCGATCCCATTTCAGGATATTTTCTGTTAGTTATGGTAGAGGTAGATATTCACGACTGGTAATTTTACATTCTATACCTACAGATGAGGGGAATTATATCTGTACTCTGGAAACAAGTGGTGAATTAAAACAAAAATCATTTACGTTAACTTATGATGGTCAGTGATAGGTTCTGTATAATATTGGTCGAATATCTTATTGACTGATCATTTTAAGTCTTTCTAATTTGTTAAAATTAAAGATTTTGCACCTTGATGAATTGCTACAACCTCCATAACATACATTAACCGCATGTTTATTCCAGGTCTATGTTTAACTTGGTGTGTTTTTCAGGTCCCACACCAGCAAGATCAAATGTTAAAAAGGATATTGGTCCGAGAAGAGGCGATGTGGTAATCTATGATCCAAACATTTTACATCGTAGACCTAAACGTCAAGTCCAAGAAAGTAATTGATTATAATATCTGTCATAAGCCATAAGCAGTGGCGGAGTCAAAAAAGGGGGGGGGGGGGCGAGTCGATAGATAGACTTAGATCTAGAATAAAACTTATAAGCTGTGTCAATGACTATTTACCAAATTCAAATGAAAACATTTTCGAGCAAATGTATAAGATCGAACGGATATAGCTGTCATCAAACGCGGTATAGGCTTATACGTGGCAATTTTCATAAAGCTTAATCTCCCCCAGTCAGTCAGGATTATTCTTTTATCCAATGTTATTTTTCTTACATTTACTTTGAATAATGATTGTCACTTGTAGCAACGGAATCGTCAGGCTTGGGCGATAACGAAGTCGATAGTACAACAACCATCGAACCAAGACCAGAGTTATTGACTGAAAGTTCACCAGAGCCGCAGCCAAAAGCAGAAAATACAACTCTATTAACTTCAATGTCAACGATGTCAACAATAATAACGCAAACAGCCAGAAAACAAAAAGCCACAACACAAAAACCCACAACTCTAAAAACCACAACACAAGTTACCACAGCTCAAGAAAGCACAACAAAAAGAATCCAAATTCCTCAACAAAACGAGCAAGGTACCACTACGCCAATGGAAGGAGGCAACTCAAAAGTACCAAATACTGAATTTGGACGTAGTGGTTTAGTTGCATTTGTAGTGTCGCTTTCCATCGCTTTATTATTGCTTTATGCACTGGTGTTGATTCTTTTAATACCAATGTGCTTAAAACGGAAGAAGGGGAGAACAAGCACCAAGAAGAGAACGCAGATTTCAAAAGATACACCAGTTGTACTTTCGCAAGTAGCTAAATCAGAAGATAATGGAGACCTTCCCTCTCCAGGGCCAAGTGATGCCGGTTTCACAACAATAGATCTCGATGATCCACCAAAGGATAAACAAGACGAAGATGGTAAACAAACATCTGAACAAAATGACGATGTAAAAGTTCTGCCATCTGCTACAACAGATCCCGAAACAACTAATACACAAGAAAGGTATATAGAAGTATTTGTCAACAGATTTTTAATTTGTCAAAAATTGTAAAAAAATTTAGTCCTGTCTATTATTAATTTTTTTTAATTAAATGAAATAGATAAATTAGCAATATGTACACAATTAATTTCGTCTATAACCTTTAAATCATACTAAACTTATGTGTATATTATAATTTCAGTATGTTGAGCTCTGTGATGTCAACTTCCGATAAAGGGGTAACTAAATCAGTCGATCCAGCTCCAGTTGACGATGATTTAAAATTTATTGATGAAACAACCCATTCTACTGAATCCGAGAAATTAGACGATTCTTCGGTATTTGACAATTCAACTCCTGCTGTAGTAGACGAACCCCAAAGAACAACGACAGAAACGACCGAGGTTAAGTTAGAGATAACAGAAAAGGAGGACGGACATAAACAAATCAAATTGTCATCATCTTCCCCCCCACCAGAGACTCAATCATCAAACTGATACAGTTTTTGAACTATCGTGTTATTTGTTTTTATTTCTATCCTACTATTTTCTATATCTGAAGGCTTGAAATTTGATGTTATAAGATTTGGTGTCTCATACTAAAAACTGTTTTGATTTTTTGGAAAAAAGGATATAATATAGCTTATATTATAGCTTTATATAAGTTCATATTATACTTTTTATAGGCCCTTATTATAATATGGACGTATATTTGCTTCATCTCTGTCCGTCTGTCTACACTTACTAGCTTGTGAACGCGATAAAGACTAGTTTTTGATTTATTGCCCTTGGCTTAGCTAAGATTAAACTGAGGTTCTAATATACTGTCGAAGTCTCACAATTATTACCAAAAAAAACTGGTTAGTTCAAAGATCGAGTCTAAGAAAATAAAAAGACATGCCTGAAATATTATGGAATGTGAATATCAATGAAAAGTTGCATCTAAATAAGGACTTTTTATTTCTCCGATACATGGCAATTTTTCCTGTGATTTCAGCATTGCTCAATTTCCTGAGGAGTGCAAATAAGTGTTGAGTTATTACCAAAACAATTTTCCAGTTAACTGACTCATATATTAAGGGTGGCAAAGCTGCAACATCATTTTATCTACATGATTTTGTTGATGACCATGATATGGGTTTGATGGGAAAAGTTCATTATGCAAACGGTTTCTCTTCAAAAAGTTAAAAGATGTTTTTTTTTTGTAAATGCTGTCACAAACTTAATTTATTCTTATTTTTATTTTATCTCATTTTAATTTGCATATATACTTTTGAATTAATGCTTAAATTTATGTTTTCAAAATTTGAAATAAAATGTGTTGTTTATTCAAAATTTTATGAGTTGCTATTCGTATTGATTGCATTAGTTCTTGAACATCGAGTAAATCACCTACAATATCAGGTGCTCGGGTTCCGCTAAGTTTCTAGCCTCCAACGTCCATTGTCTCGACCTATAGCCGTATATATTGTTTCACGGAAGTTTGTAAATGCAGTGATTTGGTTGATAGTACGCTAGTGATACTGTCAATCAGAGCCCTTGACAGAAAGCCGAAAAATAAATAATAAGACGTAAGACATATAGAAGCGAGGAGCACATATTACACAAACACAAGACAATATTATGGAATATAACACACTTCTTTAATAAGGCACATATGTGTTTTGATAAAGTGATACCTTGTCTTAGAATTAACATGAAATTTAATAATTTTAAACTTGGCGAATAAGAGCCAGTAGATATACCTGGTGTCATAAATAACATAACAGGGTCCTTATATAATCCGATAAATACCAAAAAAAAAATTAGTAATTATGCATAAATATGCAATTACCTATTGAAAAACGCTCAATATCAAGCATTTTTCAATAATTACTTAGATTTATGAATTTTCCAATTTTTCAGGGATTCTGTTTTAACTTTATGACACCAGGTAAACTAACTGATGAATATAGGCTATACTCATATTGGCCATTTCGAGAACTTAAATTTCATGTTCATTCTAAGACGTAGTATCACTTTAAATAAGCCATAAGGTTTCAAGTTTTTTCTCTAGAGGGCTCTGATTGGCTGTATTCGTTGACGTAAAATCCGCTCAAATCGCTGCATTCCGTGATACAACATAGTGACTATATAGTGGAGATGTGACACTCTCAGACATGGGTTCGACATTCGTTTTCAATGTCATTTTTTGAGTTGATGCACGTGAACATATTTGGCTTCAAAAAAGGGGGTAGTTTGAATCAGATCTTCTAATGGCTTGTGATCGATGGTATCCTTCCTGTGAGAGCCAATCAAATCTTTGACGGACAATGCGCTTCAGAAAAAAGGAGAATACGAGATTTCATATTTTCTACTACTCGCAGATCGATCTAAAGTTTGTAATAAAAAAATATCTAGGTGTTGATATTAATGGATTTTAGTGTGAATATCTTGTTCTATACGTGAAGTTTTGATCGATTTCAACACACAATATGTTCATAATTTGGCTATAAATTAAACCTTGTCTTCGAAGACAAACAAAAAATATCGATGTTAAAGAGTTACCCCTAAGAGTAGACGGTGTTTGACACCACCTTTTCTCGGTTTCTTTCATGACTTATCACTTATACTTCCCATTAAATTATACGATATGGTTATACGAATTGATGAGTTTGAACTTGATATTGAGTTATTGACCAAAACGCATGTGATGCATACTGCGAGAAGACGTGAAAATCGAGATTTCCTCCAATTTGCTGCCACTAGGTATGCATATGCGGACTGATGAGGTACGTTATTTAATTATTGCCTGACTCAAAATATGTTATGAATCAGTTATTTCACATACACATTTTGAACATGATTACGTTTGGGACCAATTCATAAAAACAACTGAAATGTAAAGCGAAGTTTATTAGGTTAAGTAGGTATAACTGCTGCCAGGTATGTCAGATAATTCTACACACAGAACACCAGAATAGTAGCAAACATATTGACACACATACAGTATTGATATTACTTAATGTGATACTACATCTTAGAATTAATATAAAATTTAAGAATTTTAAACTTGGCGAATAAGAGCCAGTTGATATACCTGGTGTCATAAATAACATAACATATCCTTATATAATCCATAAATCAAAAAAAACCTAGTAATTATCCATAAATATGCAATTAACTATTGAAAAACACCTAATATCAAGGTTAAGCGTTTTCAATATTACTTATTTTTATGAATTTTCCAATTTTCCAGATTTTACAGGGATTCTGTTGTAACTTTATGACACCAGGTAAGCTAACTGATGAATATAGACTAATATTGACCATTTCGAGAACTTAAATTTTATGTTCATTCTAAGACTTAGTATAACTTTTAACTCGTAATGACATCTTCAATATTGTCAGAAAATTTACATCAATAGTCAGAAGATGTGATGAAAATGTTATAGCAATGACAAGCCAATATAATGTTAATGCTCTCAAAAGTATTGCAGATAGCATCCCCAATGAGTGAGAAGCCATTAATATACACTTCAGATCATTCATATACCATAGAAACCAAACTATGAGTTGTGGCACACATATTCTTTATCAAATATAAAATCCCATATCAACATTCCTGAGAATCATACATTAATGTCAGTTTGATCATGATAAGAACATCCACAAGCTTCTCACATCACTTGGAATATTGACCACAATCCACTAACACAAGTTGTACAGACAATATAATATTAACGGATCTATGGTTCATAACTCAATCTTCTAAAACAGTCAACGTAATTTACTGTAATTGTGGAGTTGAAGTACATAGTTGTCTGCTTACAAGTCATTTCTTATAGTAACATTCAATATGGGATATTACAATATGATTCTTGAAAGTTTTATAGACAACACCAAACAAAAAGGGTTTTGCAATTCCATTTTGAAATTAAAGAAATTAAAACTTTTCCATACAATTTTGATATTACCCAGAAGGCCATATACCATTACAGTAGCAAATTTCTTGGCAATAACTAATAAAAATCTGTCATGAAAAAATTTTAAAAGTTGAACTACCAAGAGATCTCACACAGTTTTGTCAAAATCTAAAAGATAACTTTCAAGTACATGATCAAGGTAAAATTGAGGGTAGCTCACTCAGATCAATTTAATGTAACATATTTTCTCATATTAAGAACTTCATTTTAAGACCTGTCAAGAGAAGAAACCCAAAAAACAATCATTAAAATGATGCCAATATCATGCCTGAATGAATTTCATCAAGATCAGATTTTACAATGCAGAGGGATTTCCCTGTAGCCAAAAACACAAAAGATAGATAAAATGGGCCCACAGAAAAATATTTGTGTAGGAGTATAAAAACTATTGTTGCAATCCCAATAATATGTGAATGAACAGACAAGAGCAGGGACAAAATCACTTCATAGTACAGTTTCAAGGTAATGACAAAAACTAACTCATGTCAGTAAACAAACTAAGCATTGTATTCTGTTCATGTTACCTTCAGAGATTGTGAATCTATTTATAGGAAATAGAAAGTTGTGCAAAATTGAAAGAATATAAGACTGTAATTTTACAGTAAGCCTCCCTTCCAGCTCATTAACCATGCTTCTAGTCAAAACAGGTATTAAGCAGACATGAGTTATTAAGCCAACAATTTTTGGGCCACATTATTATAGTAACTTAAGAATGGCCATATTTGAAACATGACATGATAATTTGATAAAATTCTAAAATTACAGTGGTTCTCATCTCAAACAGAAACATAACACTATTTGTTTTTTTATGAGGAACTTATATGACAGATATCTGGCAGCCTGACTGCAGGAAGACAAACTACAGGATTAAAGAAGGCAAAATTCTAAACAAAACAATAAATTATATAAAAAGGAACACACAAACTTATAACTGAACAACCCCTTTACATTTCAGAATTTTATTAGCCTGATAATTAACCTTTTTATGGCTAATTTTTGATCGAACATTTGGTATATACAAATCAATTGAAATGTAAAGATAATTTTCTGTGGAAACAAAAATAGTATATTCTAGAAGTTATACTGGATATTTTAGTAATTATGATGAGATTGTTCAGTTTGCAATCAGTATTAAAACCAACAACTTGCAAACCATGAAATGAATGATATTTTTGTAAAATGGCACCTTAATTAGATATTAATGAAGAACTTTTAATTACTAAATGGATCAAACATATCAATTATTTTTTTGTTTTGTTTTTTGTTTTGTACAAAAATCATTTCAAACAAATTACGTTAAGTTTCTTGACACTCATGCATTCTCATTTGTAAATATTGACAAGTACCATTATTATTTGTTTTCAAATTTGGGTCATTCAAAGGTCATCTTTCAAAGCACACTCCATAATAAATAACTCTTAAATAAAAAAGTGAAGTATTTATTTGAAAAAAAAAGTTTGAAGAGGTATTATATGTGGATTCAGTAAATTTTAAAAGTTGCATGATTATAGTAAATAAAAATATCCCACTCTATCACAACATTCAATACAGAATAAAAGTTTTACAATAAGTCATTACAGCAATACATTGCCTTATATGGGACACCAGTGAACACCACAAGGTGCATTTGAGTTTCTGTTACATGATTTAGATAGACATATCTCTGATATCTGTGCTATTAATGCCTCAGAAGGTGTGTTGAATTGCAAAAGTCTTGGCTTTCATATCAAAAGAGGACATTATTATATCAACATAATTATACTTTCCCAAATTGCCTTTTACATGTAGGCTGACTCGTGATGTCATATACAAACCACTGTGAGGACAACTTATTATAAAACCCCTATCTCTATATCTCATTCAATATCGTCTTTGTATTATAACATAAACCATCAAACACTATTTATAAATTTCTATTAAAAACATATTTCAGCAGTTATATTTAACATGTAGCTGTATCAAATCAGTAAATTTTGAAGTCAGACTTATTAAAAAATGTATAATGGTTTTTTCTTGATTAAATATAAACAATAAATTTACTACCAGTACTGTATCCCACAAATAACAATATCATTATCACTCATTTCACCTTGGATTCAAATTTCCTCTTAATTCGTGGTGTTTGGGCAAGTCAGTTCTGATATTGTATGATGGTCCAAACTAGAAAAAATGACTAACATCATTTGACCTAAAAAAAAACGAAAATTGTGGAACAATATATATAGAATTCCAGTTCCATATATATAAAAAATGTGACATGTCATTATGAGTTAAAAATTGGATTTTCTTTTTCTCAATAAAATTTGTATCTAGTATGATGTACAACTAATAGGTAGGAGGTTGAGACAAATCTATGAATGAAATTGAATCCAAGGTGTGAACTGATGTACCATAACAGTTAATTTATACAATAAATAACACTGTACACACTGAATAATATTTTATACAATATAATATTTATATAGATAAATAATGAAGTGAAGAGAAGCCCTTTTTATGAATTCATTTTGTTTAAAATTCTCATTTTACTTAACATATTTATGTATTTACAATTTATTACCACAACTGGAACTCTAGTAAAGATGGAACACCTCAAGGGACCAGTCTGATGCTTTTAAACTTTCAGTATTCCACATGTTTTTATTTAAATTACAGGAATCTGCAATAGGCAATAGCCTTTCTGTGTTCTAGATTTTAGTTGTAGCATTCTGATTTCCCATCTAAAATTTGTAGTTTCGAAAATTCAAAAAAAAATAAAAAAATAAATAAATAAACTAACCAGCCAAATTTTGATTCTCTCAGAACTCAGATCAAAATATATTCCCATTGATGCGTCTTAATCTCAAAACAATATAAAAAGGGCTTCACTCCATGTTATGAAAATTCATGCATACTACTAGAAATATAAATTAATAAAATTGTCACAATCTAATTGTTCACACTTACACTTCTAATAAAATCTACCAGGACTTAAAAACATTTCTTACTATCATGAAATTACTCTGTAATCTTTTATTACATTGAGCCAGAATGAGCAAAGATGATTTGCCCTGGTCAATTAAAAGTTGGCAATATCGTGTGGTAATCTTTCAACCCAGAGACAATCATTCCATGACATTGTATAAGACCTAATTTTCATCCTCTGTCAACCGTCAAACAAATTCATATCAAAAACATCATTTCTTTTAGTTATAAATATATTTCAGAGAGAGTAAAAAATTGATTTTCAATGTTCACTGTCATTCACCAACTATTATTATGCACACCATGTGCTTCCATTTAGATTTGTTTCAATATGTAAAATATATCTTTGAATAAAAATTTCAAGGTGCTCCACACACCACATAAAAATAAATCATACAAATGAAAACACACATCACTCAAGTTTTTAAAATAAACCAAACAATTCATTGTCAAACCACACAATTTCATTAACTCCATAATAATAGAATAATAATAATATACATTTTAATATTTAACATTTCTAAACTTTAACAATTTTTTTTTAGATTCAATCCATATAACAAGCAAATTGATTATTTTTAATTTCTAAAAGGCTCTTAATTTTCTGGTTAGATATTAACAAGTCTAAAATGGGCTAAAAGTAAGTCAATGTAACATAACATGATCTAGGGTAAAGCAACACCATTTTCAGATGTAACCACAATTTCGCATATGCTAATGGAGCACCAATTCTTTCACACTTACTAAAAAGTATCATTTATTATTGCTGCCCTTTTAATATATATAGCACAATTTCATACAATAAAAAAGCACTGTTATAGCTTGATCATTTATCACAATAATCAGAAATGAAACGAAAAAAAATTTGGCAAAATCATTTGTAAAAGTAAAATTAGATACTATATAGAATTAGAATATTTTTGACACATTAATTTGCCAAATACTTAAAAGTGAAATGCCAGAAATACTCTGGCAACACTGAAAACTAGAATCTTACAATAGTTCTGCCAAATACAAGCTTCCTGATGGGTCCCTTGCATTGTTCAATCTCATGTCCTAACATTTTATTGATATAAATATTGATAATTGAATACATAATAAACAAATGGAAATACAGGCACCCATCTTTATGCCTGAATATTCATTTTGTGATTAAAGTGGCTGTGCAGGGTAGCATTAACATAAAAACAACAAAGAGAGTGTGAAATGTGCAGGGTTAAATTCTTAATTCATGTCGATTAATTTGCAGAGTGTATTGGATAGGACTTTCAAAATTCATTCTACAATTCATTATTTGATAAATTTTACAAGTCTCAATGCACTGTTTAAATTGAAAACAGTATAAACCCAGTAGGCCTTACTTCAAGACCATATCGTAGCATTTATTTGCACTTTTTCACAAAGACTATTTCTAAAATTTCAAAATTGCCTTTATAGAATTAGTTGAGTGGTCAATCACCTGCACAGTCCCTCTAAGGTCCACATAATAAATATTAACTTAAAGTCATTGTGGTTTTAGAATAATCATTTAAAAAAGAAAATAAACTACATAAAATAAATAAGTGAAGACATAAAGAGAAATAATTTAAAAATATAAAATAAAATTATTTTAAATAGCAACCAATAAGAAATTAAAAACGAGGTTGTTTCATTATTAACTTGAACAACTGATAGAGCTTTTAAACAGAGCTTGGCAATAGAATACTGTCACTACAGTAAAAACTGAACCATATATAAATTGAATATAAATTGGGTTCAGTTGTTCAAGAGAATAATTGAGGGACCATTCCCTCCAGCAAAGAGTTTGAAAAAAAAAATCAAGTAAATTAAATGTGAATTAATCTGAACACTAAAATGAACTAGAATAAATAATTAAAAAGAAAATCTATAACCCAAATAAAACAAAGATTTGCCCACTGATTTTAATACTCAGTACTGATGATTTATATATAATAAATAACTTTTCACTCGATCAAAAATTATTTGATTGAAATGCATGCATCACATTTACCATGAATTTTGCGATGATTTATGCCATTAATACAGTCAGAAATACATTGATAATTGGCCTAGTATATGCTGACTTAAAGCTCTATAAAGACAACATCTTTAAAGCATTTCATACTTTCAAATATCTTATTCTTTCAGACATTCTTCAAAGCTATCTCATCAAAATAAATGGCTCTCTGAAAAACTTAACAAAAAGTTTGTGTAAAACATAACATGAGTTTTAAATTTAACAGGGTAGTATAGTTTACTTAATAATTTAATATAAATAAACTACAAATAAATATCTTTTCCTTTATCCAAAATCAGTCATTCAAAATAACAGAATTTTTAAAAATAATAATGGTCCGTTTCGTAACGATCCAGATGCATATTGGTTGATATTACCAAAGGGTCAATTTTATATTTCGTTATATCCTATATACGACTGTAATATATGGTGTGAAAGAAAGATGTATTAGAGGTATAATCAATAAATTAAAAGATTTACATAACAACTCTCTGCTTTCATTTCCATAGCATGTAATCTGTATAAAATAAGTCAATCACACCATTCAATTCCATCCACTACCAGCTTTACTCTGTACACCCCAGCCACTCACATGACCTGGACTATGGGAGGAGACTTCTGTAACAGCAGGTGGTGGGCCACCCCATCCAAGAAATGTTGAAGATGCTGTGCTTGGTGTACCATTGTGGTTTCCTACTGGGCTATTTACCATGGTTCCATTTGTAACTGTGCTGAATGCAGTTGAGGTGTTTGTGGTTGGATTTTCTGTAGAGCTTGCTCCACCTTGATTTGTTAGCCCTAAGGGTCCCCATCCACTCTGACTTTGACTCAGAACAGCTTGTGCAGCAGCGATCATAGCATGATTTAATTGAAGTGCCCCCAAACCTAAATTACCTAATCCTAGATTATTAGACATATTTCCACCTATACCAGTCTGGCTCGGAATGCCTTGACTACCACCTCGAGTAGCATGAGACCAAGAAGGTTGATTGTAACTAGGACTAAGACCTATATGAGTATGATTCATAACTCTTCTATCTAAATGTTTTTCATTGTTTTTAGGTGCAGCACTACTAATATGTACACTAGCTCCTTTGATAATATGATCTTCTCCACACAGTGTTTGAGCAGTGTCTGAATCAGAAAAAGTAACAAACGCAAAGGCTCTAAATGGCTTTGGTATAAAAACATCTACTACCTCACCAAATTTACTAAAATATGACCGTAAATCTTCAGCAGTCATATCATCTGTACATCTTCCAACAAATACTTTACGATTCATCAGATTATGGTTTCCTTCCTAAAACAAAATATTGCCATTAATAAAAGAGACCAGTCATAGCTTTTATGAGTATGTCAAGGAATATACAGAATGATGTGGTGTTATCCATCACATTTACTTCCAATATTTTGAAATAAACTATTTTCAGATAGCAACTCTCTAACTATAGCAATTTGCAACTATACAAAGTTTGCAACATGCTATTACTGACCTTTGCGATGCATTGTATATGAATGTTCCAATGCATAAGCTAAGTTATCTTAATTTTTGCATTATTTCCGCAGTCCACAGAGTGAAAATCTGACATACAAATGATGATATACAATTGATTAAAAGCAAACAAGCAAATGTAATATATATCCAGTGTATCATCAACATTCTCCGATAAAAATTTGAGATTCAAGTCAAAATGAAAATGGGGAATTGAGTTATACAGGAGTCAAAGGTAAATGGGTCTTGCTGAGTTAAAGGTAACTGGAAATAAAAAGTGAATGAGATGCAAGATGCTAGTAGAAGTCAGACTGAACTTACAACTTTTGAATTTGGAATTCTCACATCACACCATCTACCATCTATCATATGTCTCTGAGATATACACTGAACTTGTGCATCATAATCTGCAAACCTCACAAAACCAAAACCCTTTGAATGTCCTGTTTTAATATCTTTTTTAACCTGTTCAAAAAACATTCATAATCAACAATTTATAGGCATGGTTTACTACCCCCAGATACACTCAATGTAGCATAAGTTTCATAAAAACAGATTGAAATGTTTAAAGTCTAAAGGGCCAAGCAAATCATTGCTAACTGCTCAAAATACAAAGTTTTATTTAGAAAAAAGAAGCATAAATAAGCAAATTAATATTGAGATAAAAGGGAGAAAACTCTGTTTCAAATTTTATAACTGTCCTATTTACTACTTAATTCTCATATTCTATCATCACCAGATACATACATTTATATCAGTACCAACTACTATGATTGCTAACGAAACTACATCCTTTTAGATATTTTTTTCTATCTGTAGCTAATTTAAGTAAAGCTTCAAAGTCTGACCTAGCAAAGTGATAAAAATCTAACATAATCTTTTATGTTCAATAAGGTGCTTTAGGAGAATAGTTGTAACACAAGATACAACTCATGTAAAACATATTTTCTAAATTTAATAAAACATACAAAATTTCAAGACAAACTGTTTGATTTTAGTAGGCTTTTTAAAAGCATTGCAGTTTATAAATGGAGGGCTGGGGAATCCACACCATTTAGAACCATCAGAAAGCACTTGAATTTGAACTTGAACTTTGTTATTGATATAATTATTTTATAAGGTAGATATCATTCAGGGAAGCTAACAAGGAAATGTGAAGGGATGAACATGAACAGACCTGGGATTCAACAACTATATTCACATTCATAGATGTGGTTACATCAAAAATATATATATAGGTCTGACAGGTGATCAACTTATAGGAAAATAAATAAAACTTCAGAATCATTGTTTCCCAAATAAAATTGAAAGAAATATCCAACAGAAATTCATAACCTTACTTTACAATGAAACTTTTAAGTAATAATTCAGGAGGCATACAAATTCAAATAAAACTTTACCTGCACCATTAGCAAATCACCAAACTGTACAAAATATTTGCGTAAATCATCTTCTGTACTCTTCCATGGTAAACCCAACACAATCAAATCACTACATTTAACCTTCTCTTTCTTTCTATTCAATAATGACATACTTGCATCAGGAAGTTCTTCCGTCTTTTTTCTTGTATCTAAGTTAATTATAGCATAACAAATTGAAAGGTTATAACCAGTTACATTACTTTAAACTAGATACTCTAATGTCAATGACATTGTAAAAAATTGTAATCTTTCTTCAATTTAATAACGATTCATTTGAATTCTTTCTCTTCGGAACCATTGAATGTTTATAAAATATATCTAGTCATTGAATAAAGTCAAATTCATGATGAAAACCTACTAGTGTCAAATACCTTAAGCTTCTACCTTCTAGTAGGTAGAACAATTAACTGTCATTCTATCAATAGCCTAAATACATTTTGATGTGATAGAATTCAATAATACCGGTACTATACTATCTATAAGCTTAATTCAGATAAACTATTTATAATTTTAAAAGCTTATGACAATGACTAAAATTGGGAAATGTGAAATTAAGTTACAACATGGAATCCATACTATAGACCTACTTGCAACAGTTATCTCCCCTTTGTTTAGAATCTGTCAAATTCGGTCCGAATAGAATGTTTGCTTGGAACAGATTCTACTTAATTTCCATAAATTTAAAACATCAAAAACAGCTACATAGAGATGCAACAATGTTTTACAACAAATTTCTTATTAGATCCACGCTTTCAGGCAACAGATGGTTGGTTTTAGCAACTGTCAAATTGAAAGTATGTCAGTGACCTGTCAGTTGCAAAACGTAAACATTGGCTAAAAAAAACACTTTCTTACCTTTAGGGAAGACGGCTATGTAAACATTACGTGCCCAAGTACCATCAGGAGGATAAAGTCGACCGTCTGAAAGGCGAATACCTCTCATAGAGCCAGTATCAGGGTTCCTATACTTCAATCCACAAGAACCAGGAAATTGTGCAGCTAGTGTAGTCAAGAGTAGCGTTCCATCGTCTTCGCTTGGAACCTCCATGGGTTCCTCGCCTTCCTCCTCAGCTACCTGAATATATTGGTTCATGTTGCAAGATTTTGGTGTGTCACGTGCATTTACAGTTATCAAAATATCGAAATTAATCAGCCCGCCCTAAATCCGTGGATACGCGTGCGAAGATGGCGGACACGCTCGCAATGCATCATGGGAATTCTTGTTTAACTTATATCTCATGTTTTGATAAAGTACCAAGATTATGATAAATAAATATTACAAAATTCATTACTTCATGTGCTTGGATATCAAATAATGCGACAAATTTCAACAAATTCTCTGTAACTACGATGTGAACTGACTTGACCTACAAAGGGGAAGTAACTCTTTATTAAATTATGTTAAGTGGGTTTACTACCATAAATTATAAGAGGTGTACAGTATGTCTATCTGTAGTACTAACGCAATCTTACGATGCAACTATGCAACTCGCGGTTCTGATGTATGCATACACGACAATTTATCGATTTTTAATAAAAAAATAATAATATAAAACTGGGCCAATAATATTATATCTAATTAAATAGATAGGCCTATAATTAAAATGTGTCATAATAACCAGAAACCGATGAGTTGGTATAAATTTCCTCAAAGAAGCTGCGCCCAAGGAGCTTTAGTACAACCGTTGTTTTGGAAATATCTAGAAAAGTAGGACCTAACGTCCCTGCAGATGTTATATTCCTGACGTCACACGTAAGTTTCACACATGACGTCATACCGGTGTTTGCTATTTGACGTCATACTGATGTTTTTAACTTGACTTCATATTGATCTTTTCAATGAGATAGAGTATAATGCTGTATTTGTTACCTCTGGGAAATATGGGAAATAAGACTTCCGATATGGTATATAGGATTCGTTACTTCAAATTTTGCTCGGAAGTCGTGTTTTCTGTTGGAGAACTCGGGTAGCTAATGTTGTATTTGTTACCTCTGGTAAGTAGGAAGTGTCCTACTAGGAAGTGGTAAACCCCAGTTGCATGTGTTTGGGTGAACAACTGGAAAATCAACATGGATGCCATTGTGAAATTATTAATATTTCTAATGATGATGGTTTTTATCGTATCACAATTTATGTATGAATCTATATCGTATCATATCAATGGGCACAAACAAAAGCGCAGGTAAGATATATTTTCATTCGATTTTTCTAGGCCAAGTTAAATCTAACTTCTAAATAAAAATAATCGTAACATAAATGTCATCATTAGATAGGCAATATATGCCTATTGACAGGTCATAGAAAATACCTTGAGTTTTTGGTTGCCATATATACATTTTTATATTTCTATCTGTGGATAATCCTTGCTGAACTATAATATTTCCTTTACTTTGCAGGAGACGGTTATTGCTACACTGTATAATAAAACGCACGTCTGTAAGACAGCCCGTATTAAAATCTGGAATTGTGAGTCATCTACTTCTTGAAATGGACAATTATACCTTGCAAAGGCACATTCGTAGAGAAAAAATTGAATTGTTTACAGAATTTTTGAGACAGTCTGATTTGGCTGAGAGGAGCCCAAGTGTTAGTGTTGCAGCAAGGGTAGGCCTACCTGTTGAAAAAAAAGTTTGCTGTTCTTGTGGTATAGGCCTATGGCCAATGACCAAACATTACGAGAACTTTCAGATAAATTTGACGTCGCCGAAAGTACAGCCCATGTCATTGTTTGTGCCACTCTTAAAAACATTTTTTACCTTTCACGCCTATACATATAAATTCACATTAGGATTCAGAGGCGACGATTACTTAAATAGAAAGGGTTACTTCTCGTTATCATTCCGTCAAACAAACAGTCAACACAAAATATCTATTTTTAAATGTTTTGGAACTACAGAAAATTCCAATTAAAAATTTCTTTTCGATTTTATCAAGTAAACGACCCATCATGTCCTGAAACTATTTTGAAATCTTTCCATACTCTCTACGATTTTATCTGTTCTCCGATATTTGGGGGGGGTGGCGTATATTGCCATCATACATGTCCGTCCGTCCGCCCGTCCGTCCACAATTGCTCGTAAACACTCTACAAGACACAATTCTTGACGGATTTTGACAAAACTTAGTATGAGTGTTCGTAATCACCCAAGAATGAACCCTATTGAAAATCAGAAGAATCAAAAAATATTTAGTATGAGTTATTGCCCTTGTTCTTGAAAACGCGTTCGATTTTTAGCTCGTAAACACTCTAGAAGGCACAATTCATTGTGGATTTTGACGAAACTTGGCATGAGTGTTTGTTATCACCCAAGGATAAACCCTATTGAAAATCAGCAAAATCGAAAGATAATTAGTATGAGTTATTGTCCTTGCTATTGAAAACGCGTTAATTTTTAGCTCTAGAGGGCACTAGAGGGCACAATTCTTGACTGATTTTGATGAAACATGGTGTGAATGTTCGTAATCACCCAAGAATGAACTCTATTGAAAATCAGAAGAATTGAAAAATATTTAGTATGAGTTATTGCACTTGTTCTTGAAAATGCTTTCAAATTTAGCTCTTAAACACATGAATGCATGATTCTTGCTGAATTTTGACAAAACTTGGTTTTATTATTCACTCACGAGCTGAAGATTGAATATTTGTCTTGTAGAGTTTTCACGCGCTAAAAATTGTACACGTTTTCAAGAACAAGGGCAATAACTCATACTCAATATTATTCAGTATTGCGCTAAAGAGTTCAAAAGAAGTATATGACTGAAGGTTGAATATTTCATACTGGTGATTGTTACTGTACTGCTTAATATTTTTATTCAAAATCAAAGCTGCCAGTGGGCTGCCTGGCAAGCTATCTTACATATTGCGGTCTACAATGACTAGAACATGTGGTTTAAACATAAAGGGTACCTGAGATTACAATCGTGGCCGCTACTGATCGAGCGGTTTGCTACGTTGAGTTCCATTTGGTTCATTTTAAACAAGCCTAGCCCTAAAGGTAAGAGTGAGCACGAGTTACTTTGCTGTCGGTGTCTATCGCAATATTTGAAGCAAGTGATTTCAACGTGAAAATGGGATAGATGATTTAATCGACCTGACACAAACAAATCTAACTAATATCAGCATTATACTCTGGATCAACTATATCGTATTATTTTTTGTATTATATATCATGTAGAAATAGATATTGTATAGGGAGATTATTTGTAGTAAATTCTAATTGAAGCTGCTACCAACCGCTCAATACCCATAAAACTTCATATTTTCGTTTTGAGACAAAGGGACATATTATGCGATAAATATGCGATAATATTGTCTTCATGGACTCATTAATGGTTCAGCTTTCGGTGAGTTCAACAACCATCTTAATAAACTTCAATTTCATAAATATAATTATGGAAGGCGGAATGGCTTTTTATACGCCCACATGCCCGGTCCGTCCACAATTGCTCGTAAACACTCTGCAAGGCACAATTCTTGATTGATTTCGACGAAACTTGGTATGGTTGTTTGTAATCACCCAAGGATGAACCCTATTGAAAATATTGAGTTTTACGTCCTACATTTCTGCACCATGAAGACGGGCAACGCCATGAAGGGTGCAATGAGGGAAATTTTTCCAGGACAGCGGCATTAGCCTGCTCTTTTTCGATTTACATCTGTCGAGGGATCTTTAACGTGCACAGCCTGTAGCACATCCGAACGACTAGACGCTTTTTCCATGTCAGCCCCCTCGTACAAATCAGAAGGTATTATCTCGACCTAACCATGCCGGGATTGACCCCTGGACCTTCAGGTTAGCGAGCAAGCGTCTAACTCACTGAGCCCCCGCGGCTCCCTCCTATTGAAAATCAGAAAAATCGAAAAAAATTTAGCATGAGTTATTGCCCTTCTTGAAACGCTTGTAAACACTGTAGAAGGTGCAATTCATGACGGATTTTGATGGAACTTGGTGTGAGTGTTTGTTATAACCCAAGTATGAACCCTATTTAAAATCAGAAAGATCGAAAAATAATTAGTATGAGTTATTGCCCTTGTTCTTGAAAACACGTTCAATTTTAGCTTGTAAACACTCTAGAAGGCACAATTCTTGATGGATTTTGACGAAACTTGGTGTGAGTGTCGGTTATCACCCTATTGAAAATCAGAAAAATCGAAAAATATTGAGTATGAGTTATTGCCCTTGTTCTTGAAAACGCGTTCAATTTTCAGTTCGTAAACACTCCAGAAGGCACAATTCTTGAAACTTGTTTTTACATAGTACAATTTTCAGGAGAATTTTTGGCATTTTGGTTCAAAGTCTTACTGCTATTATCGAGATATATTACAGGAAAAAATAGGCTCGGTGTAGAATTTTGATTTGCCCACAATGGCACAATGCTGTAGGGTAAGCGTAGCGTATACTGTAGTCTGAGTGATTTTCTGAAAAAAAAAAATTACATTTACTAATAAGATTAAAAGGTATACATAATAGTAAACGACAATCGACATAGCCCAACTGAAATAAATTCTCAAAGTTGTAGGAAAATAATTATTAAAGGGATACTTTGCTCAAATTTGGCCAATGACAGTATATATCCATCAATTGTCAGACATTGTCAGGCATATTTTGAAGACGGAATAATAATGCATCGTAGGAGATTAAGCGACTATGCAAAAAAACAATTCATATAATTTAGAATGAATGCTCCACCACTGACACAATTTTCAAAGAATATTAATCATTGGCAAAGTTTGTTTATATACTTATGAAGATGATTGTTTCCTGTTTTAACGTTGATTACCCAGACTCTTTTTTTCTCAAACTGAACGGATTCATCGCTTGCTCGCGTTTTTTAAAAAATTCTGATTATAGTTTTATGGTCGCTTTTTCAAACTTGATAAAGTGTGGGATGCATACTTATTTAACCAATGGTCACTATTCAACTCAAATATTAGACACAGGACGAGTGTATTCTAAGACGTAGTATCCCTTAAACACACACAAGAACCGGAAATTCTTCTTGAGATAAAACAAACTTCTATCACTACTTCGTGGGACTCGTAGGCCGATGAACTTCAGTCTTGATTTTGGAATTTTTCAAGCTCGTGAAAA